GGCAGGTGCTGCTCATCCAGAGCAGTGAATGGGACCCCAGGGCTGGGAGCAGGATGGAGCTGTGCCCCCCCAGAAAGTGTGGGAGTGGGAAGGCAGCTTCTTCCCACTTTGCCCACCCTTGGGGGAGGCATGTGCCCCTCTGGATTTGTGCATAGGGCAGAGATGGGCTTTCCACTGGGTTCAGGGCCAGGGGCAATGCCAGCCACTTCTTAGTGCAGGGCTAGGTTTGGAGCGGGCTCAGCTGTGTGGGGTGGGTGGCAGTGGCAGTGTTTGGAGGGGTGACTATGGGGGAACTAAGGTGAATTTTGGGGTGGCTATAGCCCCCAAAGCCTACCCCCAGCATCGCCTCTGCTTGGGCACTCCACTCTACTGCCTTTCCCTTGGGAGCTCCGCACTGGTCATGCACCCCCTGCCCACCGTGTGGTGCAGGGCTCCTGAGGGAAAGGCACCAGACCAGGGAGCCCCCAAGCAGGGGCAGTGCTAGGGGGGATTTGGGGGTCTGTAGTCACCCCAAAATTTACCTTGTCCCCCATAGCCACCCTTTCCAGCACCACTGCTGTTGCCTGCCCTGCACAGCTGAGCCCTCCCTGAGCCCAGCCTCCCCCCAGGAAGAGGGTAGCTCTGCCTCAGCCCTGAGCCCACAGTGGACAACCTGCCTCTGCACCATGCACAGATCTGGGGGACACATGTCCCCCATGCCTCTCCTGGGGCTTTGTGCAGAAGCAGGGAGCTGCCCACCCCTTCCCACGCCCCCTGGATGAGTTGCCTGTGGCTCCGTCCCACTCCTGACCATGGGGTCCCATTCACTGCCTTGGCTGCTCAGTGCCTGCCCCTCACTCCCTCCATCACTGTGGGTGCCTCGATCTGCCTTCCTCTGCCCATTCACTGCCCCATGCCCCTTCACCCCTACAGACTTACTGGCAGGATGCTGTTCTCCAAGCCGCTGGGCTGCATTCCTGGCGACCTGCATGGTGGCTGCATGCATGCATGCTACATTTATTGGTGACATTATTGGCTACAGCAGCCAGCAAAACCCCCTGATAGCCAATAATGTTAATTTTCCTTTTATCCATGCCAATCCCAATACGTGACCAATATATCTGTTATATATACACCTCTGTTATATAACATAGTTTTGCTATCAAAAGTGAAGTGCTGCTGGTAAAATTATGAAGGTGATTACACTGATTTACTATGGTAGAACCCTTTCTCTCTGCCAGCAGAGTAAAACCACCTCTCTGATTACCACCCAGCAGCACACAGATGGAAAAATTCAACATGCTTGTGCCTTCTGTCAGGTACTTCTGTCCCTCTAGCATCTGTCTTTCCAGGGTGCACTTTGTACCCTTTTGGCACAAGTGTTGCTCAGAGCTGTGTGGATTTGCCAGAAGCTGTGTGGATGCACTGATGTTCTAGCAGTGGCTGCTTTCATTTGCCAGATGCTTCCTAGTGTAGACAAGGCCTAAATTAAAGATGATGGGTGGGAACACAATGCTGGTGATGGTACTTAGGCACGCTTACTTTACAAAGTGTGTATGTAAAAAATAAATAAATAAATAAAAAATCTATACTCTGATTTCTGTGACTGGGGGATGTTTCATAACACTTGGGATTTTGTACATTAGTGGATGAGTTAAATCACCCAAATTCCTTTTAATAATTAGTTCATTGTGAAAAAGACCAGTAGGTTTCCATGGAACTGTGTATGGTTCATGTAGTTTGTGTTCCTTTCATTTTAATGTTAGTTTTCCTACTTGTTCCTCCTAAACAGGATATACTGTTGTCTCATTATTTGAAAGGCTGCTTAATGAATGGCGGTATTCACAAGGAATGTTAGGCCTCTTGCTTCTGGACTTTACATAGATATGTTGTCTTTGTGTATTTTCTGCTGTGCCTTGATTTCTTTTCACATAAGAAAGTTATTTCCACGCTTTGGTTAATGTTTTCACTCTCAAGAAAACTACCATTGACTTAGATTGAACTCTGAGACTCTGCTAAAGCCAGAATACTTGGCTGGGTATAGAAGAGGTCACTAGAAACTAGGGATATAAATATTGTTTAAAAAATATTTGTTTAACCCAGAGTTGCACTGGTACATGGGTCCCATATCTGACTATTATTCACCAATATAAGGAGAATTGACTGTATCAGTAATCGGCTTTTTTTGGCTGATGTGGCCA